ATGAAATTTTTTTCAATTGATAGTTTTTTTATTGCAGATTGTGAATTTAAAGCTTTCTGCAAATGCGAAGTGGTACCAAGATAAATTTCCAACTTATTATTTATCTTATTCCAAAGAAACAATAAAAATTTCTTGCTCAATTGAGTAATTTTCCTATAAAGTTTATAAAACTAATTAGATATAAATAATTAAAGCTATTAAGAAATACTATAATTATTACTTGAATTCGTAAGTATCTGAATCAATATCAATTGGGATGCTATTTCCGGATATTATTGGTCGTGGAACAAAAAATTCGTCCTTTTCTATTTCGTGAGTATCATGCTGACTAAGGTCAATATTATGAATAGTACAACTTAGTTTTTCGGAAAGAAATTCTTCAACTTCATAATGCATATTATATCTTTTCGTGCATGCACCTAATTTATAAATTATTAAATAAAATATTTATAAATCTATAAAAACTAATCTATTTTATTGTTATAACATTTAAATTTATCATATTTTCACGTAATAACGCCCATTTATTATTTTGAAATAAAAAATTTTAAGCATAAATAGTAAACAAACAAACAATGCACAGTAACTAGATTTAGTACTAAGCAAATCGGCTTTCAGACTTTAATTAATACTTTTGATTCTTAATGTAGATACGATCCTAATGGTGGAAAATCATCAAAAACGGCTCTTAAGTTTTAAAGCGGTTACCTATTTGCAAATAAATAGAAATAGACTTTGAAGAGTCATTGAGGACGATCTATTGGGACATTTTTATGATTTTGTACCATTAGAATCGTGTCGATCTGGAGTATAACTTCCGTTAAAGCTGGAAGTTTGTTTAGTGCCAAATCTAGTTTCAGTGCATTTTTTGTTTGCTTACTACATATAAGCACACTTTGCTCGTTATTTTGGAACACAGATGGAAGCTATTTTGAAGTCTATCTTATTTGTAGGGGCGTAATTTTCTAAATAACGCTCATGAATGTTCTTACTAGTGATGTGCTCATGCGCTTGGGAATATTCACAGAGTAGAATCGCCACCCAAAAAAATTTCAAAACTATTGCAAGAAAAATTTTTACTAATGTGCAGAAAGCTCTTTTTGATAAAACGAACGTTTGTTTTGAATTTTTCTGATCGTGCTACGTTGCACCTGATCTTGAAATTTAATTGGTCGTGAAATTTTTAGGGTGGTGATTTTACCCTAGTTGGAATATTTCGGAATCTCATAATTTTGGCCCGTATTAACAGCAAGCTACCATAATGCAGGCCAGAATTCCATGCGCATGATGCGCATGGATAAAACTAATTTGCCCATCA